GTGTTGCTGGAACAAGGCAGGACCTTATGAAGTGCAATACCTCTGATAAAAACGATTGGAATACCCACCTCTATATTCAGGTAAATTAATTATTTCATTAGCTGCTGGTCCAATGGGAGAATAGTGGTTGTATTTGCAACTAATATAAAAAAATGATATAATTATAATATTATGTGATATTATAATCTTATAATCATGATGTGTCATTATTTTTTTCTTTAAAAATCATTGGTTGGTCCATGTCATATGAGTTTACTTTTAGGGAAATGATTTTTATATAATATTTTTGTTTCACATTTTCATATTACTTTACGTGTCATAAAAATAATTAATTTTTTTTAATTCATATGAGATTCATAATATTAAATGAATTCACTTATTTAATGACACGTAAAAATTATATAAAAAAATAAAATAAAAAAATTATCTCTATAGTATCACCTTTAGGTTTAGTACATGCCACCCACATTATTTAAAAATAAGAAAATATGATTTTTTTTCAATGACTTCATGTTTCCAGCGATTGACTTACAAGTAAAATAACTGGAAAGGACATTTATTTGTAATTTGTTCGCTCATAAGATATTATGAAACAAAAAGTGGTATTATGCAAAATAGGTTATCAATTGCCTTGAAAAACTTAGAGTACTTTTTAAAATAAAAAAGATGTATAAAAGATTATAAATCTTAAATTATCCTAAAACAACACGAAAACCACAAGCTAACAAGGGAAATTCGCAAACAACTACATGCACAAATCTACAAACCAAGGTTACAACAAATGCAGACCATACTGAATTTCAGACATAAATAATTAGATCAATTCCGAATTAAACTATGATTAATTAACTTACTTGAAGATTGTAGATTTGATACTAAACTAGACCAAAACGCAGACTGGGTTTAATTCTAAAACTAATTTAGTTTATGTTCAACCTAAACTAACACTAATCAACCTACTTTAAAATCAAAGTTAAGAAGGTAAATCAAAAATTGAAAATTAATGAGA